CCAAGAAGGAATCTAGAGGCACTGATGTGAAAGGCTCCTGCACGTAGAAGGTCACCCCAAGAACCAGGGCTGCCAAGCCTCACATTCCCCGCACCCATCCCACAGCTGCCAACCCCTCTGCAGGAGCCCAGCCTTGATGGGAATGGACATCTCCACCTCCACTGCCTAGAACATTTCAGCTCTGATGATCTCCCAGCTTCTGGCCAGTGGTGCCCTCCTGCTGGCCCAAACAGATTTATGCCTCTCATAAATGCTAAAGCCACCGGCAGCACCAAAAGGCAAAGAAAGCAACCACGTGACATGCCCATGCCCAAGCCCATTTTGCAGCCACAGCTGAGACCAAGAAGGGTGACCTGAGAAGCCACAGGGTTTTAGCCTCAAAGTTGTGCCTTGACGGTCTCTGGAACAAGACTCAGTCTTCGAGTTGGAGCTGTACTCAGCTTTGTGAAATTCAGCAAACTCCAGAAAGAGGGCAGGAGGCACGTGCTGCTCCCAGGTTGGTCCTTGCACCCCACAGTCAGGCCCTAAGCAGGCTCCCCTGATTCCATGGCCCATGGTCAGCAGGACCTTAGGCACTGTCTCTTCTTGGCATCTCTCATGAGCTCTATCTAAGTGGGGCGTAGACCTGTTGCTCCTGGAACCTCTCTGTAGCTTCATAGCAAGGGGACATCACAGAGCCAGGTAGGGCAGACAGGAGGCCAACAAGACCACAGCTGATCCTTATCCTATGCCATGCCATCTTCTTCAGTTGGCGAACAGTCTTTCTCCTCTTCTGTCCTGTTATCCTTTCCCCAGATTGCCAGCCAGACCAATGTCACTGGTATCTAAAATCAAGCAAATTGCATTGTAGGGACTCCCCAATGATGTGAGAGTGCTCCTGGTTCAGCTTCAGTGTGGTAGCCAAGTGTGGAGCATGTGGGACAGGCCAGGTGCTGTTTCCAAGCTCGGCAAGACCCCAGCGTGTGACTGATACTTGGCACACAGTGGCATTCTCTCTGTTTGGCATCCTGAGTCACTCTGCAGGAGTCCTGGTCCCCGTGCTTTGGGTAGACTTGGGCAAGACCCCTTCCCTTTATAGTTAGAACCGCTGCCTTCACCATCTCCTCACTGTCTGTGCTTCTGAGATTTCTAGAAAAAACAGACTTACTCACCAAATGGCCACCAGGAAGGCAGCCCAGAAGGTGTCTGTGTGGTGACCTTTTGGTAATTACCAACAATACCTTTCCTCTTTTGTACTTTCCAAGAATTCTAATGGACCATCAAGTATCAAATCAGGCCCACTGGACCGTCCTTAAACGAGCTATCTTTAATCTTCCTCCGTGCCTAAATCCTGCCTGTCCTCTCAGTGCAGCCAAAGTCTGCATCCTCCTCTGCGGTTTGCAGAGGAGCCCACAGTGGTTTCGTGTCCTGGTTTCAATTTAGGGTCCTCTCTCCTCTAATCACCAGATGCCAGTGTGTTTTCTAATAATTCCCGTTTTGCCAGTTTCTGAGTTAACAAACTTCCTCTGCCCCTGGGTCTGAAGCCCTGCCCAGCGTGGTAGCCGAGACACTTGAGTTTTAATGAGGAGCCTTCTTTCTAAGCCATGAAGGCAGCTGAAATAACAATTACCTTCACGGAATCCCCACTTTTGTGCACTCTGAAGGTGCCTAGCGCCTGTGCTGCTGAAATGCCCGGGCATCCGATGACTTAATTCCTTGTGGATGGTTGTACTGTGTCCCCCAACTGGGGCTCCTGAAGTGGGGTCCCTCTGAAGCGGTCCTCACCATGCAAGATGCACTGGGTGGGATGGCTCGGCTGCAGTGGTTCCGGCCCTGCCCCCTCCCCAGCTGCTACGGCACTGATTTCTGTGTAATATCCGTGCCACGGTTCATGTCTTTCTGCAAAAACCACGTTCTGTGGGCTCCTACAACTTCTTCCCTGCGGGCAGCTGCTACTCTCAGAAAGTAGCAAACTGTTTGTTTTCAGAAATGAAAATTCCTAGTTCTGAGTTGGTCTTTGGGCTTAACTCAACACGGTGAAAACAAGTGCCTGGGTTGTCTGTGCCCAGTGGCTCTTGCTCAGAGCAACCTGCTTGCCTCCTGAGTCTTGGGTACCAGCTGACAGCCTGCTCCCGGACAGGGGCTCACACTGGGGTGCAGCTATACCCCGCCATTGTCCTCATGGCTGCAGGTCCCTCACTCACGAAGTCCTGCAGAGGAATACTCCCAACTCTCGCCTACCTCCATGCTCGCCTTTGTCTCACTGAGTCTTACTACTAATCCCTAGAATGAAACAAAGAATAGGGGTGACACACTGCCCTGGGGTGGGTGCTCCAGAAGCAGCTACCGCAAGGGAGTCTGGGAAGGAGGCATATATTAAAGGCCAATGCTATGAAGGACCAGAGGAGAGGGAGGACCATCCAGCAGGGGACTCATCTCTTGAACGCTTCTCCTTGCGATGAGAGATGGGTTCCTGCACCCCTCTGGCCGGCAGGGCACCTGATACAGGCTGTTCCCTGGGTTGTGGAGCTGCACAACTCAGCTGCAGCAGCCCTCAAAGGAGCTGGAAGTTATCCCCTGAACGCACTTCCTTCCTCAAAGCCCCGGGTGGCTTCCTTCCACGCCTGCTGCCTGCAGGGATGTGGAAAAACCTCACAGTCCGTGACAGCCTTGACCTCCCAAGAGCATTGCTTAGCTCAGTTAAAACCTCTCACAGTCAGGAGAGTGGCGACTATGTGAAGAGGTGAACCCCACTTCTTTCACCAGATGCAGTGCATGCCAAATAGGGCTGGGAGGGTGCACATTTTCAGTATCTGTAAGCAGGCATTGTGTGATACAGAGCAGAAGACATTTGCTTCCTTAGCCTTCTGCGAGAAAGTGTTTATTTTTACAAAAAGAGTCCATCAAACTGCAAATTAGCATGCATACGGCCCTTCCTGTTCCCTCCACCCATCTGGCTCCCGTGAAGAAATTATGCCCCTTCTCAGCTTGTCCAAACTGTTAGCACACAATCCAGCTCCTGTTTGCTTGGTGTCAATTTAATGTCGCATTAATTAGACAGCAAGAGAGGGGCAAAGAAGATGTTAGGGGGAGGACCTTTGGTGTGAGTCAAGTTGATTAAAAATGGTTCTTTCCAATTGGAAAACAGTTTGTTTAGTTTTGCCCCAGCGCAGAAATTCTAGTTGATTAAAGTCTTCGAAGCTACCTAATGAATTTACTCCATGAGATGTAAGTATTTACATCAGTGCAGAACTACAAGAGAGATGTGACTCCCCCACAGTCACTGTGAACATTCTCGAAGCACAAGAGGACCCATAACTCTCCTTATAACATGCAAAGCAATAAAAAGAAGATGAAGAGTAAAACGTTTAATCTGATGAACCAGGCATGGTGATGCCTATAAACCTGGCACTCGGAAGACCAAGACAGAAGGATCTCAGCAAGTCTGAGGCCAGCCTGAGCCACTAGTGAGCTCAAGGCCAGCCAGAACTACAGAGAGCGAAACCCTGTCTCAAAAACCAAGCAAACAAACAAACAAAAATTTAGTCTGATAGATGAGGCAGCACCACCCATGTGACAAGTTTGGGCTGTGGTTGAGAGGCCTGGGAGGGCCTGTCCATCACCTGGTACCACACTCAGCCAGGTGCCACCCAGCATTCTGCAGTGTGAGGCTGGGGTTTCCTCGCCTGGGGAAGGCGCACATGCCCCTATCTCAGGCTCGACACCAGGATCGGCTGGGAGGTTGGTTCTTAGAGACCTGGAATGTTCAGACGGAATTAAACAATCAGAAAATGACCTGGAACTTGATAAAAACAGGCTGAAGCAAGGCGGTCTCGCCTCTGCTTTTATTCAAATCTTTGGCAACCTGGGGACTATTATATTTAGTAATAATAATTGAACTATTCCATGTGTCCTGGCACTCATGATATCATGCAACATTCACTCTGGAATGGCTCTTAAGGCTAATCTACTCTAATAGCTTCGACTGAGAAATGCTCGAAGGGACCAAGGGACTTAGCTGCACATGGAATGCGAGGACAGAAGCCTGGGGGCCCCTGCTTACCCAGCCAACACTCTAGCCCTGGGCAGGCTTTTCTCCACCCTGTCCATGCCTCACAACATGACTAACAGGAGCTTGTCCTGGGAATTCCTTCACGGAAATAGCATGAGGTTTCCTGCATATATCAGATAAAGGAGCTGGTCTGTGGTCTGCCCCAGACCTGTTCCTTGGGCCTTGGCTTCTCTGGCTTGCTCTCAAACCCTTAGTCGGCCAAGATCTCAGAAACAAACAGCAGAATCCAACAGCTCTCAAGCCCTAGGTCTTCCAAAGGAGTTTTGAGCCAAGGATTTTCAACTTATCTCAGCCTGCGACCCTGCTCAAGCCTGAGCTGTGGCCGCACCCACGAATGCCTGCAGATGCCCTGGCCTGTGATGCTGGGCAGGGATGGCGAGCAGTGGGAGCCAGCATCTGTCCAGTGTCCCCTGGAGGGGACAATGTTCCTGCTGTCCTGCTTCCAATCCAATCAACACTGGCACTCCCCCCTCCTTTCCTGGAGACTCTAATGATCCCCAATCACAATACATGAGCTGTGCCATTCTGTTCAGAGCAGGAGCACCTGACTAGTTGGATAAATGAGTGAGTGAATGAATCCCCTAGAGGCGGAGTAACCGAGCCATAATCCCAGTTTCAAATGCAAAGGAAGAAGGAAAGAACTGAATGGAGTTGTGCTGCTTTGGATTTTGGGGTTTGAAATTTTCATCTGGACTTCTGAAAGGGGTCTTTCCAGAGCCCAGCACCTACAGAAAGTCAAAAAGCCATTAAGAAATGAAGTTATGTGGGATCATGACAGAGTTGATGCTTCCAAGATGCCCCATGAGGCAGGTACTTTGCTGTCCTCTCTGCCACCACCCAGAAAGATGAGACAGCCTTTGGGGGCCAAACAGCCCCTTTGAGCCCTGAGCCTTGGGCAGGACCTTGGAGCACAAATCCAGGTACTAGAAGCCTTGCAGGTGATGGCAACCACCCCCTTCTACCCTTTTGCATCTTGGGGTGGGGCTATTTCACTCCATTTCCGGCCCCAGCACACCCTGCACTTTGTCCCCAGCCGGAAGCTCAGCTTGCACACCCACCCTCGCCACCCTGAAGGCTGTCTGATGGGACTCCTTTCCCTTTCTTGGCTTCCAGGGTGCAAGCTGTAAAAAGGAAGAGGTGAGACTAAAGGGTTACACTCCTGGCCTCAAAGGAGATGGAGGGACATTCCTGGGGAGTGACACAATCCCAAACAGGCAGATCAAAGGGGCTGCGCGGGGGCCCAACCAGGAGCTTGCAGGTCTGGGCTGGGGTCGTAATTAGCTCCTGCCACCACCTCCCTCCCGGTGGGGCCCCCAGTCCTTCCTGAGCCCAAGCAGTGGGGGAGGGCAGGGAGAGGCCCGCCAGGAGCCGTGACATCTGGGTTGAACTTTCTGTTAGACATATGCAAAGTTTAAACATTTTAACAAAAAGCAGTCTACTCTGACTCTCCGGCACCACTGTGAGAACTGCCCTGTGCGGATCGCTCTTAAAGTATTTGATGAGAGTCTAAAAGGCTGACAGGCTAACACTTCACTTCCTTCCAATTAGGGCCCTTTCACATCAAAGGCCCAGGCCCCACTCAGCCAGCCTACTTGAATGAATTAGGGGACAGAATGAGTCCCGGGGCTGCTGCATCCCAGGCTGGGGCTCTGGGGGCTTTAATAAGATGTTGGGGGTCAGCGGGTCAGCGCTCTGACTGGGAGCTCCAGGAACTGCCAGAGTGCTTCAATATGTGTGGTGTTTGTCACGCAACCAGACCCACCACCGCCCCTCCCGCGGACCCTTCTGGGAGTACTCCGCACTGCACGGTGTGCAGCAGGGCCTGGGAGGCCAGGCCTTGGGGCGCCTCGGCTGTGCAGAGGGCACAGCGGTTCCCAGCCCCCCGGTGGATCTGAGCAGGCTTCGGGTGCACACTCCTTTCTCCCACGAGTCGTTGCTGCTGGCAGAGAAGAGCTTCTTTTGGTTCCAGGAAGTTTATCACCAGCAGCCTCCACATCCACCCATGCTTTTAACTTGACTTGTGGAGTCTGAACAGGCTTGGGTGCCTGCTGGCCTGCACTACTAAGAAAAGTGCCCTCTTACTGAGTGAGGAGAGGCCTCCCTGCTGCGTGTAGCAGCCCAGGCCTATCCTCCCTGCACTCCGGGAGGCTGAGGCATGGGGGAACACAAACACAAGCCCAACCTTGGTAACTGCAGAGAGATCCCATCACAAAATAAAAAAGTTTAAAAGGGCTGGGATGCAATTCAGTGCAAAAGCCCTGTGTTCAATCCCCAGTAGCTCTACAGAGAAAAACAAGAGAAGATCAAGGGCATAGACTGGGGTTCACACAGGCTTCTAGGGTCTACATGCATAGGCCAATGACTTCACATCTCTAAGCATCTACATCCTCTTTGGCAAAACAGAGTGTGAGCAGGCACTGATTTTGGAGGATGAGAAACAATGTCTGTAAAATGCCTATCACAGAATTGTACACAGTAGGTGCTCTGTGACAGTCACTTACTCTGCCTATTATGTCCAGTCTGTGTCATTTTTCTTGTCTCTGAGGCACAAAACCCGAAACCTACAAATCAAAGGAGAAAAAGGTTGCCTTGGGTCACAGTACTGAGAGGTTTTAGTCCATACCCAGTGGGCTCCAAGGCCAAGGGGTCTGGTGCAAGAGAGCTGCTCAGGGCATGGAGCACAGGAAGTGGAAAGAAGGGAGGAGCCGGGAGGAAGATGAACTCTTTCATGCTCCTGGGAACATCTTTTCTGCAGGCCCTGCCTCCAAAGCCCCTATCATCCAATCAGCTGCCAAGCATAGGAGGCTCTGAGAGCTGTTTTAATTCTAAACCTTAACATGCCAAAGAATTTTCTCCTCTCCTATTACCTTTTCCCCACTCCAAAAGGTTTTTCAGATAAAGCAGGATGAGAGGGCCTGTGGAGGCAGAGCTAAGCAGATTAGGATGCTGTGTAGGGACAGGGACAGGGCCAGCAGTTTCACAGAGGAGGATCTGGAGGGGACAGGTGCGTGCAATTCATCCCTACCAAGGAAGAAGGAATGTTGGGGGCCACAAAGCCAGAGCAGGACCACACTCCCCACACAGCATGCAGAGCAGCTTCGACCCCCATACCTGGGATAGTCCTGAACACAAGCCTTTCCCATGCCAGGAAAAGCAGAGAAGCAGGGTTTGTTTCCCCATCAGACAGGCGTGGCCACCTGTCCCTGTCACTGCAGTAGTGCAGAACTCCCTGGGACCTGAGTCTTCTACCATCAAATCAAGCCGTACAAAATGCCCTAGGATCTTGATGAAGACAGGAAAGCTTTGCAAACAAGTAGTGAACTGGACAGAAAAGCTCAGGCTGGGCTGGGCTGCCCAGAGAAATCTTCCAGAAGGGTGCATCCTCCACCGAGGAATTCATGACAGCAAACTCTTATTACACATAAAGCGTCCAAGGACAAAAAGCCAGTGCTCAGAGTTTGCCTTTAGAAATGTGTAAGAGATCCACAAAATCTGTTGGGAGCTGTTGAAGCCGGAAATTGACCACACGTGCAGAGCTGAGGCATGAGCATCCCAAGAATAAACAGTGCCCAGGGCAAGCTACAACATGCAAGAAGCTGCTTCAACCCAGAGAACACCTAACCCCAGGACAATCCAAAGAGTGTATTGCTAAGACAGGAGGGCGGCATAAGACATTAAGTTGCTAGAATGTATAAATAAATACCCCTACAGTGAAGGAGCAGTTCTCTTCCTCATTCAAGAGAGAGAGGTCCCCACCTGACCCCAGCTTTGGTGTTTTCTTTATCTCCTCACCCTTGCCATCCTTCACCCCAAGAACTTCAAGAGCAGTAGGGATCATAGCAAAAATCATGGAATGTACGTCATGGGGAAGGTAAATCCAAAGGGCAAATGAATATTCATTGTTATCCTAGCAGCTTTTCTGAGAGTGCTCTAGCTCTATGGTGGTTTCTGTCTGGCTGTTCCCCTAATGCCTCATGTGCTCATAGGTGGGATTTCAGGAAGGTGATTGGATCATTGGGGCATGATGCTCATTACTGGATTACCGGCTGGTGAGTTGATGGCTGTGCTGTTTGGAGGTGGGGCCTAGTGGAAGGGACGGTCCTGGGGGCGGGGCTGGAAGGGCTCCTCTCTCTCTGATTCCTCCCTTCTCCCTACTTCCTGTGTGCCATGCCCAGAGCAGCTCTCCTGTGCCAGACCCTCTGCCCCGCTGCCCTGCCTTGGAGCTGTTGACCATCCTCCTTTAAATTGTGGGTGTTTTTGTCCCAGAAAAGTGACTAAGGCAAGGTCTGTCTCCGTTGAGTCTGGAATGGTACACATTTTCATCTCTGCTGTCCAGACAAGAAGGTAGGCTGACCAAAGGTTTAGTAGCCTGTTCCATAAGTCATACCTGTAGTCGAAGATGTATGTCCCTTGCCCTTCAAACTGTGGGCTGTTACTGTGCCACTTATCGCCCTGCTAAACCTACCAGTGGTGCTTTGTTAGGTTTCACATCATGGGTCCTGTGCCTAATGACCTCATAGCATCAGAGTCTGGAAGAGGGCACAGAGTGACAGTCACCTCCTTCTACCTTCTAGACTGCAGCTGAGGCCACACTGCAGCCCACTCTTGTGTAAGCTTGATTCAGAGATCCTAAGGGTTTCTCAGGAACTCTGCTACCATTTGCCATTAATTAACTGGTCAGTGTTTGCAGGCCCCATCTATATTTCCCCTGTGACCAGGTCAGCTTTGACTCAAACATTCACATGCAAATTGTGACACATCCCTCACACTCAGAAGAAGCCGTTCCACTCAGAAGAGCCCTGGGATTCCTTTGCTCCTTCTCTTTTCATAGACAATGAAAGAGAAAACCCAGAGCATATGGAGCCCTATGATTTCCAGGGCCCCAGGGTCCCTGGGGACTCTCAGCCCCAAAGAGCTGCAGTTAAAGAGGTACCAATAGGGACGAAGACAGAAAGGTCTGCCCGTGGAGGGCATCTCTGGGCGCAGCCACAGCACTGGCTGCTTTACAGCGCTGCACTTCTGAGAATGCTCTGGCCATTTCCATATTCGAGAACCAAACGGGGTTCCCTGACTGCTGCAGCCAGCACGAAGCTCGGCCTCAGAGCTACCACACTGCCCAGTGTCAACGTGGTCAGACTCCACTAGCCTTTCTCCTGGCCACCACAGCCACATCCTCAGATTGGGACTTGGGCTTTGGTGCAGTCTGGACCTGGCGGAGATGGCAGACTCAACAGGTGAGAGCAGCGGGGAGCCAGGGAAGAGAACGCACCTCGAGGGAACGACCTTTATGTGTAAACATTAGCATGTGTGGCTGCCATGAGCCTCGGTACCCTGGAGCCGCTTCACTGTGGCTGTTGATGGTATCGGGTGGCATGAAGAAGGCCCAACCACGGGGCTTCCTGGAGGAGTCGGGGCTTGGCCAGAGCCCCTCAGCAAGGCAGGATTCTCCAGGGAAGGACTCAAGAAGTGAGGAGGACTGGAGGACGAGGGTTGCTGGTGCACGAGGAGGGTGAGGTACAGATCCACAGAAAAAGAGAGGTCTGGACTTCCTGGAGCTCACGTGGGTGCACCCCGCTCTTCTCAGCCCCAGTGCAGTCTCCTTTAGAGGCTGCTCCATCTCGTGTCTATTTTCCAAGCCTCCCCTTGTTCATTTGTAAGGTGGGGACCCAAATGGCCTTCCTCCAGACTCTTGAAAGGACCCTGCTGGGAAGTGGCCCTGGTGCTGGAGGTCTTGCAGAGCCCAGCCCTGCCTCTTCTGGGGCAGCCTTGGAGCCACACAGGCATTACCAGCAGAGGGGCCATGGTGCCCGCGTCCAGGAGCTTCAAGGAATTTGGGAATCCTCTTGCCACTGGCACCAGCCTCTTTCCCTGTCTCCCTCTTTCTCTCTGAAAACTGAGCCACACCCCATCCAGAGTCACATCCTGACCATGACTGTGCTGGTTTACAGCTCCCAGAGCTGCCCCTCAGGAAACTGTGGCTTCCAAATTTTCCCCAAACTGTGGGGGCTGACGACTGACCCCCTTGGAACTTGGGCTCCCTCTGTGCCCTCCCTGGCACGGATGCGCTGACTTCTGTGGCTGCTGTCAGCCCAACCTGGAGCTCACAAAGGTGGCTCATCTTCCAGGGCAGCTACACTCCAGCAGCTACCCTACAAGTGTTTGACCCCAGGTACCTCCAGGTCACGGGGATTTGTTAGCTGGACTCTGTGGGGCGGATGATGTTTTAAAAGGCATTTTATTGCTCTGTGACCTGTATGCACAGAGGGCAATTCTGTGGCTTTGTTTCTACAGAGTCGGGCTAAGCTGCAATGTCTCCAGCAAGCCACGGCCCACCTAGCAGACAGGAGGGGTGAGCCGGGTGTGCCCCCCCCCCCCGCCCATCCCATCGGTACTCTTCTCCCAAGGAGAGGTTTCCCTGCTGAAATCCTGCTTGGATCAGGTACCATTCTGCAGTGCTGTGACTGAGCTGATGTCAGGATTGCCCGTCCTGGGTGGGAGTGTGGGGGTTGCTTTGAGCAGCAATGGACGTGTTGGAACAGGCTCCAGTCCTCAGACAGTGCGAGGATCCTCAAAACACAGTGCAGCCTTGGTCTGATCACACACGGACATGACAGGCACACGTTTGGCTATTTTGTCAAACCCCCAGCCTCTCTGGCACCAGAAGCCAGAAGTGTGGAGTCCTTTATTGGCTTCCACTCCCAAGAGATGCATCAGACAGCCAGAAGAGAGGAAAAATCAGTTTATTAGCGTGCAGAGCACAAGACCCCTGCCTGGGGTGCAGAACACAGAAGTATGGCTGTGAACTTGGGTGGCCACGATGTCCTCAGCACCAGGAGGGTGGAGAGCAGTGGTCTTGCAAGAACTGGAAGCCACCCCGGGCATGAAGCAGGAGATGAGAGGCTTTGTGTGCAGGGAGCACTTACACTGCTTACCTTGCCATAACAAAGAATCCACGTTAGAAGTGGGTGACCCAGGAGAAGGGGGCAGAGTGCCCATCAAATGCAGTCTTGCTTGCTAGTGTGGGATTATTTATGTTGCAGGCAGCTGGGATTCATCATCAACAGGCTTCAAATACAGTAGATGCCCTGAAGGTCCCTTTGGTCACTGTGGATTGAAGTTAGAGGAAGTGATGAAAGACAGACAGGAAACAGGAAGTGGACCTGTGGAGGTGGGAAAGGCATGGAGTGGTGAGGAGACGGGAGGGAGAGAGAAGAAAGTCAAAAGGATCAAGGCCCAGACCTGGATGTGCATGCCCATAATCCTAACACTCAGGAGGCTGAGGCAGGAGGATCACTGTGAGCTTGAGGCCAGGCTGAACTACATAACAGCACCATGTCAAAAACAAAACAAAACCGACCACGACGCCATGTGTATAGGTACCAGTTCCACCATGACTGTGTTCACTAGGTGTAGCAAACATATGGTAATAAAAAGGAGGGTCAAAAAGTTTGCCAGATTTTTCTTTTTTTGATGAACGTAGGGCTGGTGGAGGGAGGAGGTCATTTTGGAGACAATTGTAATGCTTCATAAGCGTGATGGCGAAAGCCCAGCCTCAGGCAGCGGGGTTGGGTGGATAAGCAGAGGGCCCGTGGGAAACCCGGGATCCCCTGTAAGAAGCCACTGCTGGGGGGCCGCGCGGGCCTGTCCCCTGGACCGACGGAGAACACAGGACTTCAGAGGGCAAGGGCAGCAGCCCCACCACGGGGGAAGAACAGCAGGGTCATAAAGATCACATGTGCCGCCTGGCAGGAACCTCGGCCACGGCTCCTGCCCCTCTAGAGCGCACTGTGGTTATGGGCCCGGCAGGATTCATTTCATTGGCAGCCTTTGAAATGTCACTGCCCCCCAATCTTCATAAGAAGGAAATGAGGACTGCGGTGGGCAGACGAGGTGTTGAGCTGTTCTGGCCACAAGGTAAACGCCCCAGCCTTTGAAGGCCCTGCAGTAATCAGTAGCACATGTGCCTAACACCATGAATTGCACAAGACTCTGGTCAGGCTGGCAGGAGGAAGGGAGACCAGGACACTGGCAGGTGGCTGCTGTGTTGCCCAGCGGCGTGGGTGCCCACCAGAAGTAGAAGAGGCAGTGAACCCTGGGATCTGGGAAGAGGTCACCCTGAGCTCCTGGGCACTGTGCTCAATCCTCCGTTTCTCCAGGCCTGCTCATCACTGCCAAGTGGGACTTGGTGACAGCCCCAGAGCCGTGCAGAGCAAAGGTTGAGAGGCAGCAGTTCCAGGGCTACCTGGCAGATGCTTGCACCCCCATCCAGACTTCAGAGCAGCGCAACCATTGGGTGAGTCCCCTCACCTTTCTGAATTGACATCTGTGCTTCCACAAACACAGGAGACAGCTAGCATGCACACTGTAGGATGGACGCCAGGGCTGGAAGACACACAGCATCTGTGCACCGGGGCTACAGTAGCACATTTCCAGCACTCTGGGAGGCTGAGGCAGAAAGGGTGCACATTTGAGCCCAGTCTTGACAACAAGTGACTTAGCAAGACCTTGTTTCAAAATGAAAACTAAAAGAGGGCCAGGGATATAGGTCAGTGTGAAGGTGCTGGGTCCCAAAACAAACAAACAAACAAACGACACGGTGTGAAAGCTCTCCTCGAGCCAGGACATCCTATGATCTAGGGAACTGGACGCTCTGCTCAGAGGAATGAGGCACTGATAGCAGGAAAAGGACAGGGGACCGTGACCCAGGTCCATGGGCCACTTCAGACTTGGGATTTTCACTGAAGCCCTGCGCACCCAGTACTGCACCCATTTAGGACCAGACTAGGATATGAAGACCTTGACCCACCAGGATTGGAGCTCTGAACAGTTTCCCCAGACCCATGCTCCTAACAGCATGAATCCAGGTCACAGGATCATGACAGCCACCTACACCCCAAGGGACGCTCTAGCCTGTCCTGCCAGACGCCCTGAGCTTACTGGTAAGCTACGGGTTAGCAGCACCAGGTAGTTATGGTCTCTCTGTAGCTCCATCACCACTTGAGCCAACTGAGCTGGCCCTGTGCTTATAGGGACCCTGGAGCTGACCAACCCAGCCCTGTGCTTATGGGTTCCATCGCCTGTGGCCTTGGGGTTGGGACTCAGACCTGGCTCTCATTGCAGGGAGCAGCATGAGAAGGGCGGGAAAGGAGTCCAGCAGGCCACCTTGCATTCTAAGACAGTTTTCTGGTTCCTTTCTTTCCTCCACAAAGCAGGTATTGTCACCCTGGCTCTTTGGGACAAAACAGAATAAACCCTGAGGCCACAGAGCAAGACTGCAGTCCCTGCCCTTCTCCTTCTTGCAGGAAACACAGAGGCAGCATTTAACCTGCAGCCCTTGCCAACAGGAAGCCTTTTTCTGGGTCGTATCTGGACATCCAGGTCCCACTCAGAATTCGTTGGAGCTACTTAAGAGGGACAGACCACGTGACCCAGCAAGGAGATGCAGCGGCCCCTACCTAGGGCTGGCAACCAGGATGCTGCTTTAATTAGATTGCCATGGTAACAAGCAGGAGAACAATAGACAGTTGTGGACTCCAGGACCCACAGCTCCCGGCCCCACTCCCAGTGACTGCACCAGTGGAGGCTGGTCTTCATCTCAGGGAGAATAAAGTCCCCCAGTTTTCAGAGCTGCCTTACCACATTATCTGGACCACAGGGCTCCAGACGTCAAGCCCAGGTGCAGTTTGTTTTTGTATCCAGTGATGCTCAGGCCCCTGTCAACCTGAGCCTCTTCCAGCCTGAGTTTGAGGTGGCTCATTCTCAAGGGCAGCAAGGGTGAGGTGGATATGGAAGGGGACTGATGGTCTCAGAGGTAGCTTTTAGTTTCCAACAAGCCCTGTCCACCAGAGCCATCAGCATGCCTGTCCTGCCCAATGCACTGTCTCACCCAAGCCCCAGAGCCATGACCGGGGCTGTGCCTGAGCCTTGGGGCTCTTCAGGGACAACAAACCTGGCAGACCAGCGGTCTGAGCCATGACAAAACGTGAGGTTTCCCTTTAGTCCATCTGATAAGATGCAGTTCACTGCGGCCATCAGTGTCTCTGAGACCCATAAACAATGGAAAGATCATTTGAAAATAAATGACCAGTGCGCAGCAGGGAAAGCACCCTTGCACTGGTGCTCTCCAGGCCTGCCATAAACCCGCTATCTTCTCGGCTCGGGTGGCCTGGGTCACAGGCCATAAAGGGTTTCCTCAGGGAAATCTTCCGATGGAAGACTCCAGCGAGACGGACTCAGGGCCAGTGGGGGGCCTCAGAGAACAGAGCTGAGGCTGGCGGTGGCGCGGGGCGGGCGCATGCAGGGGAACCATCTGCTGCCCACCCGCCATCCACCGCCAGGACCGCAGGTCACTGCTGAGCCCCTGCCCTAAACAGACTGCAGCCTGACCCACTTTCGCTGATGGAAGAGGCTGCAGTCCCCACAGCAGGAAGCTGCATTTCCCTTTGGAGAGGGGACCAGTGACCTGGATTCATGTGAAATGAGGAGACTGTGACTTCAGATTTTGTTATTTCCAGAGAAGTCAGCTGCTTGAGAAGAGAGGGGCGAAGATGGAGTGGTAGAGGAGGCACAGGGGCCTTGGGGCCAGAGACAGTGGTGGTGGCAGACAGGGTGTCGGGAAATGAGCCCAGCTCCATTCTGCCCCCACTGCTCCTGGAACTGCTTGGCACTGCAGTGGCCTTGGGCTACCTCAGCTGGGTGTCCCCAGAGACACAGGGGTGCTGGGGCTATCTGTGAGCTTCCCCCTCCTCCAGCTGGGGGTCCTCTCTCAGGTATGGGAGGACCCCTCAGACCATAGGGCCTTTGCCCGTGGCTTCCATTCTTCCGGCCACTCAGTCTTCTACCCTTCACCTGGGTTCATTCTCTGTCCCAGCGCTGTCACTGTCCCATGAATCCTCCCCCAAGGCAGTCTGGGTCCAATGAGGGCCCACCAGGCTCATCCCACAGGGGCAGGACTTGATACTGGGAGGCTGTTATATAGGTGAGAAAGGGATGAAAAGGTTTTTTAAAACTAACATGGGGTTTCCTGGAGGCAGAGCCCTCCGGGAGCTGGAGCAACCCCACCACAGATCCAAAGGGAAGAAGGGCTGGTACCAGGGGCTGTAGGGGGACTTCATCCCAGTGTGGCAGGGGTGTGAATCAGCCATGCGCGACCTCCCAGCCCCTAGCTGAAGTCTGAGCATGGGGAGGTGTAGGGTGTGGCTGTGTCTCATCACCTCCAGTACAGGTCCAGAACTTCCTGCCACGCCCATCGTGCACCCCCAAGGCCAGGACCCAAGCAGCTCACACGCAGTATGGGGAAACATCAGAGTGGGTGTGGATTTGGTCAAGATACCAACTAAGCAACCATACAAACCCACACCCAGTACATTGCCGGGTGGCTTTTGTGTGTGACCGGGTACGCTCCATGTCTCAGGCCTGGCTCAGAGCCTCGCCTATCAATTCCAATAAATATGCATCAGCCAATGGAATGGGAAGAGTGAGATTTCCAACCTACATCTCCACAGTTGCAAAGTGGATCAAATTCCTTCTAATATAGGTCACCTGGGGCGACTCCCCCAAAGGCAAGTGACACCCAAGGTCAACTGCCCCAGCCCTTTGTCCTAAGGCCAATACCCAGAGGCAAAGAAAAGAAAAAAACAGACCACTGCACAACAGGACACAACCACACCAGGCCTGGATTTGACCGGCAGTGGCCTCTCCTCACCTGCAGCTCCCCGGGGGCTCGTGCACAGGGCGCTGCCCCTTGAGCATCGAACTACACCAGAGTGGATTATGGGAAAGGACATGCATGGTAGACTCTGATTCAGCGCCCTGTCAATCACACTGTCAATCACATTTGCTCTGCGAGACCCAGGAGGAGGGACCTCCACTCAGGAACAATTTAATTCTTAACCACGATCCATGCCCTCCGTGCACCGCCATTTTCCTTCCTGTGGGCGCTATCATGCTCTTTGAGAGCAAACCATCGCCATCTCCTAATTCGGCTTCACTAAACTTCTTTTCTCACAGAAACACATCTGGGACCCCAGCACCCAGATGTCCCCGGTTTACAGGGTTCTTGTCCGATACCCAGATGGTGGACAGGAAAGCTCAAAGCCATTTGTACTCAGTTGCCGTAGGACTCAGGAGCCCTGGGGTGGCATCTGCCCCTGGCTGTGTCCCCTGCTGCTTTTCCAAGGCTCGTGAGGAGGTGGAGCAGAGCCCACTCAACACCTATCTCCCCCTGAAGAATTTCAAAAGCTCCTTCTGCCTATTTTTGTCCCGCGCTGCTGAGTGACTACGTGGGTTATCACGTGCAGCAGACAGCTCTGTAGCAGTGCTGACATGCCTGGTGTTTTCTGATAGGACCACATTGCCTGCAGAAGCCATTGAACACTGTGATCTCAGGGTGCCGGGGTGGACACAACAGACAGATGGGGTGCTGGGCCTGGATTCTTCACTGGAGACCAGAAACCACAAACATGCTGTTGTAGTCACGGGTTGTGAGGAGAACAATTACAATCAGGACACAGAATTTATAATATTTTATGATGGCCACCCAGAGTTAAACACAAGAAAGCGCAGGAAATCTGTCCACACTAAAGATCCAGAATATTCAGCCAAGGGCCTGGATCCAACAGCAGTGTCCTGCATGAGCCCAGATGAAGACCTAGAGCCTGTGACAATGGCTCCCACAAGTCCAACAGGGGTCTAGAGCTCACAAAAATGACTCACGCCAGTCTGTCTTTCGGGTCTGTGCTGGGAAGGCCCAAAGGTCAGTGGTGGAAACTAGAAAGTCCATGCCAGCAAGGTGAAGGAAGGTTGAGGTGCTGGTAGGTTGAGGATTCTATACTGGAGCCAAGGAGTCATGCTCAAAACAAGGACCAGGGCTGCCCTGAAAAACACCACAGTCATCCTCAGCCCCAGTGAAGTCCTCAGCTCCTCTGACGATGAGAACAGTTGAGTACATGCCAGAGAGCTAGCATGACAAGCTTCTCCTGGAGATTAAACAGCACACATCTTCCCCTCTGGAGCCAAGAAGCGATGTTCATGTAAGGACCAGAGCTCCCCCAAAGTGAACCACAACCACTCTCACCAACAAGGTCCAGAGCTCCTCCAATGACAATGGTTGAACTCACACTGGGGAAGCCTGCACGACGAGCTCCTCCAGAAGAACCAACAGTTCAAATAGCAACACTTAGGAGACCCCACAATGCCTAGCTCTTCTCCATGTCTCTATTTATGCTGGTAACTTTCCCCAGGTGGGCCAGCTACACTCAGCACCATGCTGATTTAATTCGGCTGGTGTTCAGTTGACCATCAGTTTTTAATCCATAACATACGGGGTCCTATGAGCTGTTCCCACAGCTCCCAGGCAGTGCAGCCCAGCCAGTCTCAGAGACGACTCTGCATGCTCTATGAATCTGACTCAGGGTATGTCCATGCCCACATGCCCAAGAGGCAGCCTCCCACAGGTGTCAGTCAAGGAGGTGGCTGTCACCCCTCTTCCAAGTGACTGAGGGGTCAGGAGCCTCACTTCTGCCCCTTTCTTATCAGCTCCTCCTGGGCAAGTCTCTCCTGCATCCATCACGACTGGTCCTCAGATCAACTGTGCATTTGAGTCATGGGTCTTCATGAAGTTTCGCCAGTGTGTATGAGAGAAGATGGAGCTTCCTATGAGCCGCCAGGACAAGACCACCTTGCTGTGTGTGTGCATGTGTGTGTACGCAGGAGCATGCTGGAGTCGGGGTACTAGGAACTGAACCCAAGGCATTTCCACTGAAACTTTTTTACTTTTTAACAGAGGCTCTCCCTATGGCACTCAGTTGCCCAGTCTGGTCTCAGACTTGAGATTGTCCTTCCAGAGTGCACTGCCATGCCCAGCTGCTCTAATATTCTTCACTGCTCATCAGCACCAAGAATCATAGCTGATCAGTCCCACAGCCTGAGAATGAGCATCCTGAGGAGCCCCAGGAGCTACCGAAGGGACAGCATGGGGCTCCGTGGTGAGAAGTCCTGCTCTGATCCCTAGTTCTTGGGGCAGAGTGACTTGAAGATGCTGCCTGGGGACACAGCCATTTTGCAAGTAGAGAAGTGGTGCTGGACTTTCTGCAGTGCACGGGGCACAGTCCCCAAGTAAACAATGATCTATTCCAGATGTGCATAGTATCAGCACTTCTGCAATTTTAATGCATATATGAGTCAACCAGAGATGGAGTTGGATTACAGGTTCTGACCCATGGCTCCAAGGTTCTGCATTTCTGAGTCCCAAGTCATCCTCAAGGTGCTAGTCCTCCACAGCTGAAGTTTCTTCCACTCCCTACACATCCTCCTGTGCAGGGATAATGTCATCATGTGCCAGGCTTCCTCAGTGCTTTTGACGGTGTAATTGCTGATGCAGGAAGCACTGGGTCTGGTGGTGCACATCTGTAACCCTAGCATCTGGTTCACACCCCACCTAGGTGATGTAATGACTTAGGGAAACCCTAGCTCTAAAAAACAAAAAAAGGATTGGAGGTGTAGCTCAGTGAAAGCTCTAGGATCAATAGCCAATATTGCAACAAATAATAATACATGGAAAGGGTGGCCCGATAGGAGCTGAGCTGCACAGTCAGCGGTAAACAATAAGGGAGCAGAGCTTCCTTTGTGTCTTCAGCCACCGCCCGAAGCCCACATCATTGCCTGAGTTCTGCCTCCATTATCAGCAGGGCATTGCATTCCGGGGCACTCCAAGCCCCACTGTGAATTGTGCATACAGGGATCTTGGTTGCTGTTCCTTGCGAGACTCTACCCCTGATTGTTTCAGGTGAAGCTGAGGTGGTGACGCTGGTGCTGAAGAGCAGCTTCAAACTCAGATGAATTTCACAGAAAGATGTGACTGCAGACCATAACAAGTCAGTGTTTTCAGACTCATATCAAAACGTCAGTCAGTGGCAAGGGACAATCAAGTGCATTTGGTGGCCACCTCAAGTCAGAATCTGATGCTTGTCTTAGTCTGTGTGTAGCCTGCCCACTATTTTGTTTACCACTTCCATCCCTGCCTCCTCCTCACACTGTGCCCTTGGCTCTGCCACCACTTAGGAAAGCCCACAAACTAACCCTGGCCAAAAATCCAATTTCACTTCTTTGAAAAGTAGGCAAATCTCAATGAAGATTTGGGAACACAGCAGAACTGCCTGCCAAATAAACAAGCTTCATGTAAAAGAAAGCTTCAAGAGTCCTTAAATTATGGGTTCATTGCAGCAGGCAACTCACACTGTCCAAGTCTGTCCAAGAACAGTATGTGGCAACAGGCTCTCTCATGAAGCCACACAGCCTTCAAAACTGCTTTGTCACCTGGAGACCAACCACCTGTGGAACTTTTCAAAAGAAAAATAAATGAAGACAAAAATAATGAGCAACTATTAAAGACCACCATTTCAGCTAATGTGTCTACACCAAGAGCGTCATTCTTAGTGGCTGAACGCATTGCTAACACTATGCTGCCCTTTACTGCTGGTGAGCATTCAATTGTGTCCACTTCAAGGACATTCATCATGAACATTGGCCATGAACTCTTAGGAGATTCTGCAGTTCAGAAGGTGGCATGCGTTCCTCTCTCAGCTGGTACCGTGGTTGAATCGGTCAAAGAGCAGAAGGCGATTAATGAGTCCTCACAATGCTCGATCCAGTAAGCTTAGTCCACTGATGTTGAAAGTAAGGGAACAGAGCTTGTCTCTGTGTGACATAGTTTTCAGGAGGTTGTACACGCAGATATGTTATGTGCTCTTTTGCTGTCAATCAGCACCACAGCCGCAGAGCTACTCTAGTCTTTGAGTGATTATGTATCAGGAAAGCTGGACTGGTCCCTTAATGTTGGCTCATTAACAGATGAAATGGTCACCAAGACTGGACAGCTGTTTTCACTGATCAGAGAGGTCACTCCTGAGTGTGAGTCTATGTACTGTGTCACCCAGAGAGCAATGCTGGCTAGCTGAAAATGGTCCCTGAGATGTTGTAAGGTGTTACAAGGTGGGGTTAAAATCATCAACACATTCACTCATGCACTCTGGAAGGGGATGGATGAAGCACACATACATATTCTCTTATCCACAGAAGTAAGGTGGTTTCTAAAGCAGATCACTGGTCAGAGTTTTTGAGCTACAAGAGTTGCCTCAGAGATTTCTTTCAGAAACCAGTGACACAGGATAATTCATAAAACGTGCTTTATTGGTGTGACATGTTCAGCCTGCCCAACTAACTCTGTCACTCCAGAAAAAAGTGACAACTGTGTTCAATTTGGCAGATAAAGTGGCTGCATTCAAAGCCAAAAACTAGAATGATGGGGGTGAGGAGTGAACATTAAGATTTCTGACACATTTCAAACATTACCAGAGATTCTGAAAGAGACTGAGCCAGGGCCTGCTTTCTCCCAGCTGCCGCATGATCACCTGTCTCAGCTTTCAAAAAAGGCTGAGCATTGCTTCCCAACCATAAGACTGTTAAATTGAGCAAAAAATTACTCTGTACCCTACCGTGAGTAAGCTGGGTCCAACAATTTGGTGCATTCTGAAGGAGGAGATTACAGGTGAGGCGGCCTTAAAATTGTGTCTGAGACAACTTCAAATCTCCATGCATTCTGGATTAAAAAGGTGGAATACCCTGAGATTGCTACAAAAGCACTGAAAGCCTGCTTCTGTTTCCAACATCCTGTCTTTCTTCGCAGTGACAGCAACCAGAAGGAGATTATGGAGCAGACCGGACGTGAGAACACATTCCAGCGTAACTGTCTCCGTCACCCAGATGCGGGAAGACAAGCTCAGAGCTCCCACTGGTTCTGTATGGTGGTGAATGGTACAATTATTCCATTAAATATCACACTGTCAAAATAGAAATAAAGTGCACAATACACATAATGTACTTGAATCGTCTTGACCTCCCTCCCTCGTCTATAGAAAAATTGCCTTCCAGGAAATTAGTCCCTGGTGCAAGGAAGGCTGAGGGCCACAGGGGTAAGGTGCTCACCCACCCATGCCACCCATCAACAAGGACTCCCGAGAGCTGGCTTCCTGCCTGGAGCTTCCTGCACAGCATGTGGCAAGTGTCAGGAGCTCCAAATACGTCTGTGGACAGAGTTAACCGGCCGCAGTAGAAGACGGCTTTCTTGTAATGGAGAAAATCATTTCCCAAGCTTCTTTGGTTCACCCTCCCTTCAAACTAGCTGCTGCTTTTATCTGCAAGGTGCTTTTGTCTGCATTATCTCGATTGATCTTTATCACCCGTGGACAAGAAAAGCCAGGCTCAGTTCTACTTCTGGATGGAAAACTGAGGCACAGAAAACCTCCATGAGCACAAAAGCCAGCAGCCCTGGGGCATGCAGGGCCGCCCTCTGCTGCTTGCTTCTCCATACAACGGCATGCTGCCTGTCTCTTCCTGTCCCATTTTCTCTGTCTTTCAGCTCCTGCTTTGTACACCAGGGAGCCATGTCCTCTGTCTAACTGGCTCACTTCTGAGCCCCAAGGACTGGGGCTGCCGTGGGTGGGTGAGGACCCCCAGGAATGACAGCTTGAGATGTAGGATCAAGTTAATCAAGGTCCCCTGAGTGCTGGGTGCTCTCCACCTGCTCCACCCCACCCCACTGAGAACCCCCACTATAGTTGCTCCAGCTGCAGGGCTACACCTGGACTCACCCCAGAGGTATGACTGGCCCTGTGACAGCCAACAGCAGAGAAGGAAGCTGCAGTCCATGGCTCCTTCCCTCAGTGTGGCACTGGAAGATTTCTAGCTGAATTCCAAATCTTGCTTCTCCAGCCATGGGTGGCCCCTTTACTTTCTTTCCCCTCCTGGGTTCTCATTTCTCTCTCCTGATAGTCAGCCCAGGACACCACCTACTAACTGTGCCGTCTCAACTCTGCGCCTAGATGATCTCCCCAATCTCCGTCTCACCAGCTACTCAGCAACTTCTGTCTAAACATGCACCTCTCCTCTGACGATATGTGCAACTGCTCACTTAGAGCTGTCGCTCGGATGTCTCAAAGGGAATCTCTACATCCAGAGCTAAATCCTCGAGCGCCTCCTAAGACACCAAACCCACCCCACCTACAGCTGACCTCACGGCTGCAATGCCGACTTTCTCCCACCTTTGGAGAAATCCTTGCTGCTCATCCTTCTCTCCCAAGTCTCACACGTGTTTCTCTTGTGTTTGAAATGTACATCACTTGTCTAACTTTCTTTTCCCCATTCTGGCTCCAAGCCACAGTTATCTGTCAGCTGGGGACTATGTGTGCACCCCAACTTCTCTCATCACTTCCATGCTTACCGTCCTGTGGACTACTCTCCACAGAAGTTCATGTGACAGACTGTGTAGTGGGTTGTATGAGCACCCCAAAACACTTAGGCCCCACCTTCTATAACTTGTAACCCAGTAAATGTGACCTCACTTGAAAAACACATGATGACTATTAATCCTAGTGTGTTAAACTCCATTAGATTAAGAAACACTGGTAAGCGCCCCTGGTGAGGGCCAGGAGGAGAACCAGAGCTCCTGAGACCTGGCCATGGTGGGACTCAGGCAGCTTATTCTTCTGCCCTCTTGGTAAGCACCCCCAGAGTGGGCCAGGAGGAGAACCACTGGCTCCTGTGAGCCTACCAGCTCTTGGGATGAAAATCAAGCACCCTTTGTCCTCCTGCCCTGCCCCTCATAGCTACTGGGGATAGATGTCTCAGCACCTCTTGGGAGGATGACTATATGCAGTGTAGCAAATATGGGGGACTTCCTTCTATCCTCTGTTTGAAGGCAAAGGTTGTTTTCATTGTTTTGTTTTGTTATGTTTCTTTTGCTCTATTCAATACTCTCAATTGGTTGTATAATGTTCTGTTTTTGGTTTGATTTTGCTATACCTAATTGACTGGACAACTATTGTGAAATTAACGAGATGTACTATCATACCTATTACTACCATCCAGTATCCTACTGTGAAATTCTGTACCAATTTCACTGCATTGTCTCAATTGGCTTTGTTCTGTCTTGTGCTGTTGCATTTTTACTACTTTCAAAATAAAATTAAAAAAAGAAAAGAAACACCTAGCACATTAGTTAAGCATCAGCCTTGCTGAGTCATAAAGAGGTGACCTTGCTACTTTATCTGGTTCCCTGTCCCTTCCCTTTTTGGCTCATAGTTCTAGCCACCATGAACTAAGAATCTTTGCCCCACCATCCCCTTCTGCCATGATGTCTCTGCCATGGAGTCAACCAATCATGGACTGAATCTCCTAAAACCATAACCCAAACTAAACCTCTCCTTCTTGAAGCTGTGGGTGTCAGGTAGCACGCCCAGCAATGGGAAAGCTGAATAATGCCAGTCTTTGCAGATGCTATTGAAGACCTTGAGATGATGTCATCGTAGATTATCTGAATGGCCTCAAACCCGAGGACAAATGCCCTTAGAAGAGGAAAAAGGAAAATCAGAGACACAAAGGAAAAATCTGTATGAAGTTAGAGGCAGAGACTGGTCGTATGCAGCTACCAGTCAAAGAATTCCTGGAGGCCCCCCAACTTGGGAGGCACAAGGAAGGGTTCTCCTCCTGCAGCCTCAGAGTACCTGTGGCCAAGGAGGGGGAGCCTGAAGGAGCGGCAGGGAGTTCCAGTTCCTGAGGGAGTAAAATAAGTAATTCACACTGATGGCAAGGGTCACAGCCTCAGTTCAGGAGGCAGGAGACTCTCCGGGTAGGGAGAATTTCCTGCTTTGTCTGTTTTATATAGACTTGGATTCAGGTATATCAGAAATGTTTGACACTGATGTATTATGGAGCTGTGGGTTTTTAGGTATGATCATAGCATGCTGGTCACTTTTTAGAAGCTGTATTTTTTAAAGTTATGTACTGAAACATTCCCAAGAGAAATTGTACAGTGTCTTGGATCTGCCCTACAACAAGCTGGTACAGAGGGCTGGCTGGGTGTACACAGTGAGGCTGGCTGTGAATTGAGAGTTGCTGAAGCTGGAGGTCAGATGCATTGGAGATCATTATTCTCTTTTTTCTTGCACTGGTTTGAAATTTCTCATAATGACAAGTTTTTTAAATAAACAAATAAACATATGCTCCCAGAAATGAAATCACCAGCTCTTGAGTGCTTCCAAAGCATTTAGAATGTGTTGTCAAATTGCTTTGACAAAGGCTGTGGCAGTTTCTAGTCTCAGGAGCAGGATGTGAAAGTGCTGAGGATATAGTGTTTTAAGAGAATATAGACTCACCTGAGTGGACGTAAGAACGTGTGCCTCTGCATGGCCCACACAATAAGAATAACAGCCTACAGGGGGACCTGATGGATAAGTCGTGGTAGAACGCCTGCAGCTTGCACCAGGGCAGCAGGAACAGCCATCAAAGGGGAACTGAGTTCAGCACTCAGGTTATACGAGCCCGAGCTGCCCTGGAGAGGGGATCCTGGAGCATTTCTGGCACCGTCACAGAAGATCTCCCCGAACATCGACGGAGGGCAGTGTTCAGTGGGAAAATCCACAAGCAGCACCTTGGTAAAACCTGATTGTCTTCGAGAGGCTTCCTTCCACTGAGGGGGCCAGACCAGGGCCCGGGCTTCTCCACCCAGCATGAAAGGAAACTGTTTGCAATCAAGTAATTCCGCGCTCCTGTAATTTTCCAATTAAGCATGATTGATGAGCTGCATTCCTGTCTCGGTATTAGACAGGCAGCACCTCTTGGCAGCCACAGCCAGCCTGCAGCAGAAGCAGCCATGTACGTGGACAGTTTCTTAACAGTCCTCAACTCTCGGGCACAAGTCACATCGTCACCCTCCAGGGACATCCCCTGGCTCTCAACGCACCAGATGGCAGGTGTAGCAGCCCACAGTATAGGTTACAGGTGCACCAGTGCACGGTCATATGCAAGCCCAGCCGGCCTCCATCCCACAGGCACTGAATGGCAGACACCAGCCCGTAGCCTGGTACCAGACAGATACCTACCTGTTCCCCAAAAATAAGACCTCACCAGAAAACAAGCCCTACCATGATTTTCCAAAATGCTCATGACGCCAGCCCAACCCGAAAGTGCGCCATAGTTAAGACTGTCAGCCAGAGTGACCAGTTAGTCAACGAGCAGCCTGTGTGAAAGGGAAGTGCTCGTCCGGGAGCGCTCTGCTGCTGGACAGGGGACAGTGGGCTAGTGGTTCCACAGGAAGTGGAGTCCCAGGAAATGCAAGGCCAGGACTTGAGGTTTGAGAGTTATGAGGACATGCCAGAAGAAGATGACTGGACTGTATGTGAATAAATGTGGATTTTTATACACAGATAAATGTAATTTTATACAGGAATAAATGCAGATTGTTGTATACAAACAAATACATTCCCCTACTGAGCATTTTGGAGCAAAAATTAACATCAGACCTGGTATCATTTTGAGGGAAACAGGAAAGTCAGAACCTCTGCATCAAAGCGCCCATGGATAGATAAGGAGAGAGACGGAAGAACCACTGCATAACCTGTGCTAGCGCTGGGGAAGGGGTGGCCACCATCAGCGAGCGAGCTCAGAGCATCCTGGGGGAAGGAGGCTGTGGCTGAGGCTCAGGGCCATTCGGAAGGGGAGGAAGGCAGCCAGGGAAGGCGTGGGCACCCAAGGGGCCAAGACACATGGCAGGTGCTGGAGAGGAAACCATAAACAGCACTGGTTCGGTTCCAGCCCTTGTCTCCCAAGCAGAGCACTGCCCTGCTCCCAGAGGCTTCATGCTGGACCTCGGTCCCAGACAACAGTGTGCTAGGAGGGGACAGTGCATGGACTAGACAGTGAGTGGGGGTGGACAATGTGCAGGGTGGCCAGTGCATGCAGTGGACAATACATGGGGTGGACAGTGCACAGGTGCTCAGGGTACTTCACAGCAGAAGTGTC